GCAATCTGAGCGATAAACTATACTTTCTGTTGTGGACTGGACGGTATAGGTACAGGGCATGATAGAGAAGCATGCGCAGATTTGTACATGCGTCCAGGTCCGAGGACACGAAAAACGTGATCACCTACCACATGGCGCAGACCGAACGATTTTAGAAACGGCAACGGCTTGTAATCCAGCCTGAGGTCAAACGCACAACCTCCGACCGGTTGCGAGTCGATCGATAGTTCTGTCCCGCAGAATGTGATCGATCCCAGATAGAATGAACCGGGGGGTCGATTTCGTTCGAGACATAATGTCAACACGCGAAGACATGCTCTAGATCGGGTCGCTCGTGGAATCTAGGCTGAAACTTCCTTTCCGCTCCTTACGAACGGCATCAGTGAGCGAAAAGCAAGCGTTACGTGGTCGGATCGGCATATCCAGAAAGATCATCGATTAGAGTTGAAGGACGGAGTTTGAAGTTTTGGCTCGTATACCGCGACATTCTGTGTCCTTGTACAGGTGCACTAATCGAGTGTTTTACACCACCTTTTCTCCGCTCATAGCATAGGCGAGGCCGGCAGGCTGAAAAGCGAAGCTGTGGACTGCGTGAGGTCATAAATAGTGCTCAACACCTGTTCGGCATGTACATTCTTCTGTCCGCGCGAGCTCACAGGCGTACATTCCTTCGAGGTCGAGGTGCTTGCTGCGCTGTGCTGTGCTCGGCTCGGCTCTAGGACGACCACCTCCAGGACCACTGCTCGCGCATAAACCACTGTATTAGCCGAGCTATCATTATGAGCTGCTGGAAAACGTGCATCCTTGAGGCACGAGTGACGAGTCCGGTAAAATTGTTTCGTGGTGGACTCGGGACGAGAGCACAGGCCTCAGGGCCGGGCCGTGTCCCATGTCCGGACTAATTGGGCATTTTCAATGCGCTCGACGAATGTGGCCCGTGCACGTGGGCGGTCAGACAACATTAAGTGATTGAAAACGCGCTCATAATCCAGCTACTGCCGTGGCTGCACTGTTTCGGCGAAATCATTTTTCAGAGGCAATGTGCCCTCTGCACGTGGTCGGGATATGCACATTCTAATCATTTAAGCTGCTCGCTCATGTTACAAGACCTCACGGTGACTGATTCTTACTTTAACCTCGAGTGGGCTCCCGGTCGACCTAGTGTCCTACCCTGTGACGTAGCCCCAAATTCTATTGCAAAGTAGATACAGTAGATGGTTGGAGCTCTAGTCCGGCGAATTCTTCCCATTCGGCGGTCGCTCGCTGCTGCTGCTGCTGCTGCTGCTGCACTGCAAGATCTTTGTAACGCAATGTATGAACACGACTGTTCTTATGCACTGAATTCTTTATTCATTTCGAGGCTAGTAAGCTCGGGGCAGTTGATCTGTCCGAAAGTTTAAGCTTAACTGAATGAATCTAGGGGTAGATCTTGTGTACTTGTTTCATGATTGGCTGCACATGGTCGCCACCCTCGAGTTAAAAGGACGTCAAAAAGAGGTCGGTCCACTCGACTTCTGTCCTCGTTATCCAGGGACCGGCGCAAGAAAAGCTCATGCACAAGCATGCCCTGGTCGTTCAGTTGAGAGTTGGTTGCAAGGGGGAGAAGTACGGTTCGATTTCCTAAATGCTAAATATATCTGGATCTTTGGTCTTTGGGTCACCACCGAGGGCCCGCGAGCTTATATCATTCGGTTCATCTGTTTCTCTCGGCTGATACTGCGCCTGGGCCTCTCACTTTACCGAGAAAGGCACAACTCAGTAAACGATTTTTTTTGTTGCATAGGGCCAGTCACGTCGGGCATCGCCACAGCAGCAGAGCGAAACACGGTGACGGTCATATCCTGAGACAGTGAAAGGAGTATCAAACAAGCCATCACTGCTCCATGTATCATAGCCCACCGCAAGAGGCCTCAGCCGTGGACAGTAACTGTTCTGACGCAGGCTTGTGATTTCAAACTTAGCCCAAGGTTGCAAGGTGCAACACTTGCGCTGATCATGAGCTTTGTGCAACCAAATTACCATATACTGTCAATTTTCAGGTCGTTACATGTAGAGATGAAAGCTTAAAAAAAGTATCAAAGCAGTTGCATCCCCTTCTGAACTTTTGATCGGCATGTCTGTACGTCAAATGGCATTGCACGTATGCATCGCAGCTGCAAAGCGCGAACTGTGAAACGTTCCGTCACCGTTCGACCATTAAGTTACTTGTTCTGAAAGAAAACCAGGTCGAAACGGACTCTCGTTCAAAAGTTCTACAGCGATCCGGAAGCGTTTCGAGTTCAGCGTCAGGCTTGTATTTTCGTCTGTACACTTGCGAACCGTCTGCAGGGCCATCAGTCAATTGGCTTGTACTCATGCGGCCGAAGGCGTGCTTGCGCTCGAGCCTCAAGGGAGAGTGGTGCGCTCTTATGTGACCCGTGTCGTCACATGTGATCACGAAAGACATTGTTGACGATTGTACGTGCCTCCTGTTACAGAGAAGACACAGCTTGGCCAAATGTTACCCCCTTATTATTTTGGGCGGAGATACGGACGGGGAGATGCAATGATTGCGCTGAAGAGATACAGTACCCTCTTGAACAACGTGCGCTTCCGGTAACTTTCTACTTTCAGGTCTTCAAAGTAGATACCCAGCAAAGCCAGGTCTAGATATAACGAATTATATTCACTCTCCTTCATTCAGTCGTCCATCCATCCATCCATCGAATTATTCTTGTCCCGGCGAACTTCGAATGGGGAGGCACGAGCTGAGCTGTTCTGAGCCCAAAAACCATAATGTTTTGTTCATCATGACAAGGGATTGCAAAAGAAGAATTTTGGATCTTGTACGCTCATAAAGGTCAGCTGAAAGAACAAAACTTTGGCTCAGCTAAAGGACTCGGCAGTCAGTCGCAGTCTTCCGAGGCGAAGCCAGGGAATCAAGTGGAGGATAATCTCTCACGTTTTGAATATCCATGATGGTTCCTACGTCTGCCGAGTCTCACGTTCGCCTCCCTAGGCAAGACAGAGCGTCCACGTTGAGATATACATGAAAACAATCTCATCTGCTCACACGAGGAGTCCGGACCTGTCCTGGGTCACCACCTTAAAGCAAAGCCGTTGTGATTTCTGTGACCGAACTTACGTAGCCGAGTCTGGAGCTATGCATCCGCCATTCCAATCGTGACACTGAAACGACGAAAGCGGTCAATTTTCTCAACAGCTCTGTAACGCCTTCGGTGGGATGAAAGTAAAGCTTCAGTCGCTTTCAGCCAAGTGGCCTTGCTATGGAGTGGTCAGAGACGACCATTGTCGTCTTGTGTCCTTGACGATCGGTTGCAGCGCGATCGAGCCCCAATATAGAGAATAACTGACTCGAAATAATACGCTCATATCAAATATTGTTATTCTATGTTACAGTTTTCAGCTGCATCCGTAATACCTCTGGGGTACTCGATTTCATCCTCCGATAGTGTGTTAAATGTGTCGAAAGGACTGTCCCCAGTTAATCAATGGTAATCACAGGTCCTCAAGTGGTCATGATGATTGAGAAGGCTGAACGCTTGTCCTTCTAGAGCGCAGATCGATTTGTTGTTAGATCCTGAACCTTACTTTGTACAAGTCTATCTGTCTAGACAGTCAGCAAGTCAGTTACTCATCATCATGATCATCATACAGGCTCTTCTGACGTCGATTGCTATAATCATCACAACAATGTCCAGCCCCTGGCGGTGAAATTCGATAGCACGTAACTTTGGCGCATTGCTCCGACAAGTGCAGAGGAGGAAATCAACACCACGATGACCCATTGGCAAGTTATTTATCTGGCCTACCTGCGAGCGACACAGTTCTCACGCAGGGAGGGAATACAGAAGGGTCAAGGAGGTCTGGGACGCTGGGTCTCGATGTGTGAACTGGTGAATCGCAGATCATGAACTGCTTATCTCACATAGTATCCGCAAAATCTACCTGATCTTCGGGATGGCCGAAAAGGTGGATCTACGGAGTGAATATCACTCTCTGTTCTCTTATAACTCCTTCGAGCCATGGCCGGTCATCTTGTACAACAACGTCGTCGTCCTAGAGACTCATAGTCAGACTTTCAGATCAAGCAACAATGCTGCAGCACTCTAATTGCTGCTTCTAAGAGAAAAGCTCGCTTTCCAGTGTGTTGGAGATGATGGACCTATGAGGTTACCTATGCATGAAAAGTGTGACTGCCGCAGGACTCTGTCCTCCATATCGATGCTAACTGTTGCCAAAAATCTGGTACCGGTTGCTTGGGTCCACCGAGCTTCGATCTATATCCTAGAACCATTCCTCTCCTTAAAAATGTCGTTGGAAACAGTCACTCTCAACCGGTCTGACATTACAAACTCTCTTTCCAGCTCGAGTTTGTACCCGTTCCATGTGTAACGCCATTTGATTGAAAATGTCAAAAGCACTCACTCCCTCACTCACTCACTGGCATGCGTCCGTCGACGTCCTTGGTCTCTGTTACACGCTAATATGAAAAGTAGCCCTCTCTCAGAGCACTTCTCTCCCAGTCGTCCATCATCAGTAACAAAAAAGATTTTAGCAATCAAATCTGCCTGCAGAACTAACTGTTGATGTAGGACCGGCAAGCAGCACTACTGACTGAGCGCCTGTGAAAGTTTTGCAAGGTGCAAGGAGACAGGAGCGTGCTCCGATTGCTCGCTCGCTACTGGAGTACTCTTGAAAGTAATAAGTTTGGACATACATTGCGACAATGCTTCACAACACTGTTTACAGTTTTTGTTTCGCACGCCGCGATCATTTAAACTGCTGAGGAGAGAGAAAGAGAGAGGGAGATTTGCACTTTGCTCGAAGCTAAGAGAAAGTCATGTATACTGTGAGTTAACTCTGACGACTTCATCCAGAAGGTTGTTCGCACAAAATAATCTTTACTGTGGCAACAATTGTGCGAAAATTATTTGTTGTGCCAAACCACCCAATAAATGGACCAGCAACGAATTACAGAAAATTTTCACTATATAACCAGCGAAGTAGACGATGAAAATTCAATCTAAAATAAGTAGTTGATTTTAAATTATGTACTTCAAGGTGATTGTCTTACTATAGCACCTGATTTCTTTTCTCGACGTTTAGAAACTTGACTTTATGACGTCACTTCTACCACAACACTACTGGCTCCTGTTGTTTGAATAACATCCAACAAAACCTGCAACAAGTGCTGTGATGACCTATCCAGAGAATTCTTGAATTACCGACTGCCATTGGTCGCAAAAATATCCTGACTATAACATCTTTAGAAGGATCAGACTGTTATCTCCTACTTGCTTCTGTATTTCCTCAGCTAGATATGAGTTACGTTTAATTACTCTTTCTCCTCGGCAAAGGGATGAGTTACTTTTGACTGCATGTGTTGGTGACAGGTCTCCTCTAACTCCAACACTCTTGAATTACTCTCTCGCTTTAACGAGTACCGATGAAGATTTAGAGTGAAGGTGCTGTTCCATTCCCCTTTCCAGGAATTTCAAGAAGAATGCTTTCTTGGAAATCGACATTCTTGTAGCAAGTTCTGGCAGTGCACACTTTCTTCCTTCTGGAAGAAAGTGTGCCATCTGTGTCCTGCGACTTCACTATAAATTTCGGTGGCCCTACATGAAAGATCCGATTGATATCTTCGAGGCAGAATTATGTGTGCAATGAGAATAAACTCCTCATCACGTGGCTCAATCTCGTTGCCAGAGATAACCCTCGACACCTTTAGAAATGCTCGTAAGACTGGAAATGCCATATCTCTTTCTTGTCACGGTGAAATTCTTCGGCCAATTGGTCACCTCAAAGCATTGCAAATGGTACTGCTTGACAAGGATGCAGGGCATCATAGAAGACGGAACAATTTAGCTAGCCTGCCTGCGGAGATCATACAGTGTCCCGGTCCATTCCCTTGCATCGGTATGTCATAACGTATTTCAAGGGGCAAAAGAAAAGCAGATCGTTTTTATTTAGAAAGATTTCCTAGCAACTGGAAACAGTAGGCGACATTCATGGTTAGTCCAACTTACCCTTTTTTAAGATGTCAAGGCAATCAGGCTGTCTTAAAATCTTCTTAAATAGTCGAACCAAAAGAGTTTTGGCCTCTCCATGCTACATTCAGAACCAATTGTGACAGCTGCAATTATCCAAGGTTAACTGAAAATCCACGGGTGCTATTACAAACCTAACAGCTACACTGATACTCGATGGAGAAGCAGGCTATTGAGTCAAGTTAATCGCACACGAAACATCGATCACATTGGTTGAGCATATCAGCCTGGAGATATGCGCTGTTGCAGGCATTCCATCCCTGTTTCCCGGCTTTGAAGCAGCTGAGTAACGACACACATTGGCACACCAATCATGGATCCTAATCCGTAATTGATGGTCAAACCTTACAATAAGGTGATAAACCTTACAACATCAACTCGTAGTCTGTAGCGCAATGACAAAAATCGTAACTGCCATGCTGCTGGTTGGCAAGGTAGTACCTTGAAGCAAATTTATGCTCAATTTGCAAGTTTGAAGGATTGAGTGAACTCACGTAACCAACTCTCCAGGATGAACTTGATCTGTTCGCAACGAATTCCAGAGCTTTTGAATGATTCGTACGCATTCAGCATTCAGCATTCACCTCAGCTTCATTCGACGTTACCAGGCCAAGCTACAAATGAAGATACAGAGACTCTTGGTCTATGACTTACTGTGAGAAGATCGTGTGCTTATATACATCAAATTTTGTACAGCGATACACCTGTCAGTGAGTAGCTACAAAAAAATTGAGTGACTCAAAAACTGGGTCGTCGTATGATTTGATACTCCTACTTAGGCACCAAATCTTTCTGGTGAAAAATTTACCGTTATCAAGCTCTCTCCCTACTATGCTATTGTGTGTCCCGAGGAAGGAACATATGGATGTAAGTGTACTCTGTACCTGCTTCTAGTTCATTGAAGAATCGAAATGTCGGCATGTTTGTTGAAATATGGCAATGGAAGGATGAGACACGCATCACTCCAATCATGAGACATGGAACACGCTCTCATCATAGCCCATCGACCATCATACTGAATCTACTGGCTAAGCAGTACCGATTCTTCTGTCGTTTTTGTAAAATGGAGGGCCTCAACAGATGTGAAATCGAGCAGAAATTCCCTGCTTCCTTTGCTTCGAGTCTTATAAATGTTTAGCCATTCCTTTACGAAACATTAAAAAGAAAAAGACCAATAACTTCACAAGCAATAAACCTTAGTACATTAATTGACACTTTAGTAAACAATAAAGGGTGTATATCTCATGGAGAAAATATTCATATTCATTTCAGATAACTTGACGCAATGAAATTCGGAATGATTCAATGATTTTTTTTCTCTTTTTACATACACAGTAATGTAAAATCTCGTCTCATCTATACAACTCATTGTGAATCCATAACGAGGTTGATATCACAATAGGCACATGGATTTTTGCGAGTCAAATCTGACAAACATAGGGATTGCTAACGTGTTATCTATAAATGTTATCCAATACAAATCAAACTTACATCATGTATCTTTTATTCTATATTTATTATTCTTTACTCTACTTTCAAATAATTAAAAGGTTTACAAAAAAGTTCTAGGAATTAACAATTCTTTTGCATATCTTCAAATTCTTGAGTTATCCAAAATGCATTAGCTAGATTGAATGGCTATCTCCAAACTAAAACATATGATACATGTATTCAAACAAATTTCTGAAAGATAAAATATTGATATTCATCAACAATTGTATAGATCACTCTATGTTTTTGCTAAGTAAGTAAAAAACATCCAAACCTAATCATAATTAGCTATATTTAATCGTGGCTAAGATCACTATAGTTAACTTTTGATTAAACTATCATATTTCAACATTGCAACCACAATTCTTTTAGGTGATCTATCAGTAATTAGAAAAGATGAAATATATAATGGATTTTGAAACATGTCTTTACAAATGTGATACATTTTTTTTCAGTCATCACACATAATTTACACATTCTATTATTTTGATAAAAATAGTTACAAATCACAAGACGATTCATTAATGTATTTTAACATCTTAAAAGAATAAATGATTCAATATTCATATTGATTCAAAAAAAAATTCTTTCAATCAGACATAATGTCATATTTGAAATATCAACTTCATGTTAGACCTAATACAAACGTTACACAATTGACACACACATCATGCACACAACCGACCGATTGGAAGGCAAAATGTGCTTAATCTCATTTGACTAAATCTACAGGAAAACAATATTGCTTTGTTGAAAATATCTAGCTCTCTCTATGGGAGCTACGGTTAATTTTCTCATATGATGAGAAAATAACTGGACTAGTTAATTGTGATATAAATAACAAATATAACCAAGATTTAAGTTATCTTCTAACAATTATTTTGATAATTATTTCATGTTGTTGTTAATTTTCTGCAATATTCTTCAAAAATTTTGTCAATCAATTATATACTTGCTTCAGAAATCAGAGATTGTTGTCATATATTAAAATAATACTAGCTGAAACAATTATAAAGCAAAAATGTGGATATGATGAAATACATAAGTGTGATTAATATGAACTGGTGATATAAAAATTGGTATAAAAAGATGATACAAAATGATAATATAAGTTATGATATTGTATCAATATTGTGAGATTAATGAAAAATGAAAAATCCAAAAAGCACAAATGCAAAAAAGCAACAACACATGTAGACACACTACGCTCACATGAGAAGATGTACTTTGAAACTAGCAAACTATGTTCAAGAGAAACCAGAAGATTTTATTGAAACATTAAAAATGTTAAATTAAAACCTTGGCTTGCTTTATTTTAAAGTGAACAGCAGATTTCTCAACTCACTATGAAATCAACTAACTAGTATTAAGGTAACTAAATCGTATTAATTAACTTTAACTAAGCTAACTAGGGTTAATCAATTAGCTTAAAACTTGTTAGGATTAAGCTAATTGATATGAGTTTGATTCAGATCTTAATCAATATTAGCAATCTTTACTTCAATTCATGTCTGCAGTATAATAATCTATTTTTTCCATAATTACTTTGTAATTAGTTTTAGAGTAAAACCTAGCATAAGGTAGTCTTTAAACTAGAGCTAATTACAACTAAGTCATAGCCAAAACAAAGTAGTATAAAAATATACAGAGGTTACAAAAATTGCTAATAAATTTTACTTATGCTACTCATGAAAATGCTGCTAAATAGCTTAATGTCTTCTAAAACTCTCTAAAGAAATAATTTTAATCAACGCATTAGTTGAATTGAATATACCATCAATCTTGATTAGTTCAAAATTTTTATTAAAAAATTTATTTGTGATCAAATGAAACTTAATATCAATGTGTTTTACTTTTTTATTTATCATATGATTTGCATCAAGATGTAACAAAATTTGACTATCACAATAAAGATTTAGAACCTCTTCTTTATAATTCATCCAAGTGAAAAACTTATACAACGAAATAGTTTACTTTGTTGCGGCTACATATTTAGCTTCTGTTGTGAATTGAACTGAACGACAGTTTTCTGCAAAGTTGATATCTAATCAATGCATCCATCAAAAATTTATGAGAAATGTAAACACATATCTCATTGATTGAACATTGAATTGCAAAAAATTTAAATTTTTCCAAAAAAGTTATACTTCTTAAAAGTCTCCCATGTTACTTTTTTATTTATAAACATAGATTATACACACTATACAAAAATTAAAGTGCTTTCATTAAGTCATCAAACCTTGCATTAGACTATCTAGTAGCTTGATTCAATCTATATAATGATTTTAAATGTACAGTAGCCTCCCGCTTAAGTACGCAACTTGAACCTAGACGCTTTGTGCGTACTTTAGACTGTGCACTCCCAAAAATCAGCTTGCATTTGTCTCTCATGTCAAAGAACTCGAATGGAAAGCGTCTCAATGAGTCGCAACGCTGTGAGATTATCTCGAAGTTCAGCAAGACGTCTTCTCTCAGTATGAGAGCCTTAGCAAGAGAATATGGTGTTAGTGAAGGCGCCATCAGAAAGGTTTGGGAGAACCGTGAGGCGATCCTGACCCGATCTGCTCTTTTAACGGAAGAAGCTAAAGAGAAGATGTTTCGAGCTTCAGTTGGACGATTCACGGAGCTTTGGAGATATGCTCTATTGCTGGATTGATAGCATGCGTTGAGCCAGCCTACCTGTACCTCCATCCATTGCCATGGCCAAAGCGAAAAGCATTGCATCGAATTTGTCAATTCCAAAATCTGACTTTAATGCTTTTTGGCAATGGTTAAGCCGTTTCAGAGTCAGGCGCGGTTTGCAAAAAAATGCTTTTTCATGGAGAAGGCGCGGAAGTCAACAAGAACAAACCGGAGTTGTTAGCAGCTTTGGAAGAACTGTACGAGATTATAGCTCAATATGACCCTAAGAATATCTACAACATGGACGAAACAGATCCTTTTTTTCGATTGCTTCCAAGATATAGTCTTCTTATGCCGGACAAGGATATTTGTACGACAAGGGGCAAAAAGAAACCGAAAGATTGAGTTTCACTTATCGTTTGTGCCAACGCAACCGGGTCACACAAAGTTCCATGCTCATTAATAGGAAAATTGAAAGAACCAGCTTGCATTAAGGATCGGCCGTGGCCAATACCTTACTTTAATCAGGCTAAAGCTTGGATGTACGTAGAAACCTGTTGGAAGTGGTTCAATGAAGTGTTTTTCCCAGAAGTGAAGAAGCAAACAGGACGGAGAGTTCTTTTGCTGATGGATAATGCTCCGGGTCATTTTCAAAGCTTCGAACGTGACAACATTCGCGTTGTGTTCTTTCTCCCAAATTGTACAAGCTAGAAGCAACCTTGCGATGTGGGAATATCGCAACTCTGAAGAAACGCTATAAGTATCTGTATCTCAAGTACGTTCTTGACTTTTACCAACTTGAGGACGACGTGAAAGCTCGAAGAAGAGATCAAGGTCGAAGACTTTGGTGAGGATCTGCTGGGGTACTTTATGGGAATCCAGCGCAACTCTTAGATGCTGCAAATTACGTAAAAGAAGCCTAGGATTCTGTTTCTCAAGCTCCGATCAAAAATGCTTTTGAAAAGGCTGAACTCATGCCAAAACAATTTGAAGCCGAGGACGAATGCAATGACGGAGGCCTCGATGCTGAAATCATGGAGGTTTTTGAAGCATTGAATTTGATCATTGAGTCGTCTGAACTCGATGACTTCGTTCATGATAACGATGAGAACAATGAAGCATTTGCGGCCACGGTTTTGGAGGATGTGGAAGAGCTTCTAGAAACAATAAAAGTTGTTAAAACCCGCGGAAAATAATGACAATGATGAAGTTAATCCACTTGAACAGAATGCTGAAACACAAAGCGGCATCTAATTCCAAGGGTTAGAATTACTCTATAAGCATGTTCTCGACATCGAGGATCAACTTCTATGCCCTGATGTTCAAATCAAAGCTGATGAAGCCTTTGATGTTCTGAAGAAATCATTTGAAGCATTTCAGTGCAAGCTACGGGCCGTTTGTGTCAATGTTAAAAAGAAGAAACTTCAAAACCTGCGCCAGATGACAATTCGTGACATGTTTGCCCAATAAATGTTGAACCTAGACTTTTTGGGAAAAATATGCGTACTTAAACGGATGCGTACTTAAGCGGGAGGTTATTGTACATGCAACAGATTGTTGCATGTAGATTTATTACTCTAAAGACTTTTAGAAATGTTATGTAACTACATTCATATCATATGTAATCAAACTAAATATTGTAGCAAGTGTGTATTTTTGCATATTTTGCTATAGATGATAAAATTTTATTGTAATTCATACCTCTTGTGTAAAATTTCTATTCATCAACCTAGCTTTGAAATTACATTTTTGTCATTTATTTGATTGTGCTTCAACTTATACAATCCCTTGCTATCAATCAAAATTTTATTAACGTCTTATAATCCATCAACAATAAATTTTTATCACACTCTATAGAATTATTCAATTCAAGCTTATTGACATAAGTTTAAGCTTTAGTGTAAAAAAAATTCTTAATCTTCCAAGATCAATGCAATGTCAAAAT